CCGGAACGTCCTCGCGCGTGAGGTCCGAGAAGGGCGTGACGCCGAAGGTCGCGTGNGGGTTTGCCGCGGCGTGCAGCCTTGCAAGGAACAGGTTCTCCTTGAACACGCCCAGGCGGAACGCCTCCTCAGCGGCGCTCCCGTACACCTTGCCGTGACGCTGCTTGAACGCCGCGAACTGCGACGCCAGCGTCTCCCTCGCCTGCAGGCTCGCCCTCGCCGCGGGGACGAAGCACAGCACGGCGACCAGAACGGCCACGAGCAACAGCGTGCGCGCCGAGCCCGTCATTGCTGCTTGTGCGTGTGTGTGTGGGTTTCCTTCCTTGTCAGCTTTCCCCGGATCCACCTGCGCGGTGCGGGGTGGGGCGCGGGGGCCGAGGTGGGGAGCAAAGGCATGCACGCAGGGCGGCGAGTGCCGCAGGGGTGGGTGGGAGGGGGTTGGGGCAGGACGCTTTCACGTGTGTTTGACGGTGCGAGTAAAACCCCCTTCGCTGCCGTGGCGCCGGGGGCCGACGCGGGCCGGTGAAATACGCCTGCTTTTCAATTTTTCGCACGCAAAGCAGCCAAGACTGGCGCCACCGGCAGCGATCCAACGAAGGAGCGAGGTGAAGGAGGAAGGCATCGATAAAACTACGCAACCGAAAGGAGAAGGAAATCCACACAAAATAATTTGAAAAACGCGCCCGCAGAGGAACCCCCTTCCGGCGCTCGGACGTCATCCGCAGTTTCGTGTGCCGACTGCCCTTTCCCACCCTTTCCAAATATGCTGAGAAGGAAGTTGGGGACAAGCCTCCCGCGCCTCTGCTCCCTTCCTCTCTCAGCCCACGCGGCTCTAACGAGGGCGGGCAATAGCAGCATCAGCGGCGGCCGCGTGTGAGGGCGTGTCCCCATCAACTCGCTCTGTTTCTCCCTGCCTTTCCGCCCCCGTGCGTTCGAAGAGCACCCAGGCGAGTGACGTGTGGGGGGTGCGACGCGGAAGCATGAGAAGGGAACTTAAGCGGAAACCAAGCGCGGCATCTTCAACGGTGGTTAGCGCCGTCTACGGTCCGCCGCAAAGGCGATAAAACAGAACCAGTAAAGCCCGCCCTCTCTCGCCTCCCGAGTTGCCTTCACACTTCTAGTCGTACATGTCTAACCGTCGCACAGGCGAGGAAATCCCCTGTGGGAGGTAACTCTCTTGCTCGCGCAGCGGCATGGATGTGTCTCCCGGACCTGCGCCATTCGTCGGCAGTGGGATGGTGTTGGATTTCTGCATCGGGATGGGTGCCCTCGCGGGGGCGGGCTGCACCATGTAGTCAGCGACGTAGCTCCCTGCGACGACCACGATGATTGTCGCCATGACACCGATAAAGACGTACAACGGGTAAAGCCCACCGCCCTCAAGCTGGGGCGGCCCTCCTCTTTGCGTGAGCGAAGACATGGCAAGTCCTAAGCCGTAAGGGTCGGGCGGGACATCAGTTGTGAAGTAACTTACTTCAGCCGCCACGCACTTGTCCTTGCGGCAGAGCAGTGTGACCTGATTGCGCTCTCCAGTCACCGCCCAGCCGTAGAGCTGCACACCGTCGCCAAAGTCGCAGCTACGATTGAGATGCACCTCCTCACACAGAAGTGCAGGGTCAAAACCGTAGACGCCGAGCGAGCGCGAGACGACGCCGGGTGCGGTGCGTTTGCTTTTGCGGAGGCTGACGGTGCCACTTTTCAAGGCCTCCCCAACGACCGTGTAGCGGCCACCGAGGAAGAGCTCGTACGCCAGCTTCGCAAGGTCTAGCGCGCTGGTGTAGTACATGTAGTCGGCCGTATAGGCGGCGTGAATCGTGACGGACGGCGCCACTGCGGTGCCATCGGCGGTGACATCCTGCACAGCGCGCCCTGTGAGGGAGGCAGCGGCGCCGGCGGGATACGCAGGCGCCGGGACGTTTCCCTCATGGTCCAGAAGAAATGTTTCACTGAGCCCCATCGGGGAGAGAAACGTGTTTTGGATAAACGCCGCCGCAGAGGTCGGCGGGTGCCCCGCGGCGAGGACTTTGTCCAGGATGTACGTCACCAACGCCGTGTTGAGTCGGGAGTGGCGGTAGCTGTCTCCAAGCCCCGGCTCCACCGTGCCCCACAGATCTCCGTCCGCTGCATCCGCAAAGACGCGCTCAACAAAGGCGGTGTTACTTTCCACCGTTCCAGGCGTCTGCACCGCCCCGCTCTGGAACCCCGCCTCGGTGAGTGAGGAGGTGTGCAGCAGCAGGGTGGCGAGCGAGACGACGGCGGCGGGGAAGAGCGGGTTCTGGAACGCCACCGTCGCATTGTAGGGGGGCGGCAAAAATTCGGGGGGAATGGTCTGCATGCGCAGAAAAGGCAGGGCACTGGTGTTCTCCAAGTACACCACCGTCATGTCCACGAAGAGCTCGGAGAGGGTGTTTGCGCGGAAGCTTGCGGCGGGGGTCATGGGGATCGTTTTGCCCACCACCGCCTGGCTGCCGAGCGCCGTGGTCGCGGTGGCGTCAACGCCGTCCCCGCCCCACGTGACGACGGCCCCGGCGAAGACCCCCGCGTCGCCGCGACGTATGGCGTCGAAGTACGCGTCAATCTCCGCCAGACGCGCCAAGGCGGTTGCGGGAAAAAGGCACACGGCCGCGACGGCGCAGAGCAGCCAAAGCAGCGGCCACGGCGAGGACGACGAAGAACGGCGACTCCCGCCGGTGCAGCGAGGCGGCTGATAAACACGGCGTGACATCTCTCTGTTTCTCTTTTTCTCTCGCTCTGTGTGTGTCTGCACACTCGCTTTTCTCCCAAAACCTGCACCAATCTTCCCCACGGTTTCCCTCCTTTCTTCGTCCTTGTTTTTTTCCCTTTGCTTCTTCTGCCCTCCCCCCCTCTTCCTGGGTGTGCTTCTTCACCTTGCCAACGGCAGGCGGATCTGGCGGCGCACGGGAGGGATGGGGGCGGACGTGACGGAGAAGGGCAGCAGCAGGCGCCACGGCGAGGAGGCGAGGGAGCAGAAGGAGGCATCAAATAAAAAAAAAGGGAGCGAAGGAAGGGCCCGTATTGCATCTGACGACCGCGCGCTGAAAGACAACGGCACACACACAGACACACAAAACGCTTCCATGCTCGCTCGCCCGATCTCCGTCGGGGCGGCAGTTTTGTGCCTCACGTCCCCGCGGCAAAAGATTATTGTAACAACAACAAGAGGAGCTGAGGGTGATTTCGCCATGTTGCCTGTGGCGCGACCACGAGCTCAGGCGGCGTCCGCGGCTGCGCGCTCCAAGGACCACCACATCGCCATGGCCCAGTCCTGCAGCGACGACCCGCGCGGCTGCGTGCCGACCTCCACCACTCTGGCGGCGCGGAGCCACAAGGGCGTCGTCGGTGGCTCAGTCTTCAGCCTCTTCACAGCTCTGTCCTTCTCAGCGCGGCTGTGGAGGTGCAGCAGCGCCAGGCGACGACGCGGCACCACGCCGTCGCCGTCTGGCGCAGACGCACGCTCCTGCGACTCGCCTTCTCCGTTAGCCGCCTGAATGGTGCTGGCGACGTCTTGCTGTTGCCCTTGTTGCTCTTCCTGCTGCTGCTGCTGCTGCTTTTGCTGCGGTTGTCTGCTCTGGAGGCGCACGTGCGGAATGACGCGCAGCGACCGCTCCACCCGCGCCACCAGCTCCCACGTGCCCCTGCACAGCTGCCCCGGTATGACGGCGTCCTTCAGCACGCACGCCTTGAACACCTCCCACCACCCGGCGCAGGCAACGCCGCCGACGCCGTTGGTGCTGCTTCTATCGCCTTCCCGCTGGCGTTGGGCGAGAGTGGCGAAGAGGCCCACAGTGATGAGTAGCGACTGGTGCGGATGCGGCACGAGGGAGAGGACTAAACCGACGGCGTGCAGATGCCGCAAGACAGGCTCGGGGGCGGCGAGGGCGAGGTCGACGGCGTTGGACGCCACCTCCATCGCCCACGCATCGAGCTGTGGGACCACGTCGCTCGACAGCGCACGGCAGAGCAGCAGCGCCTCCAGCAGCAGGTGAATCGCACACTCGCTCAGGCACTCCAGCTCCTCCTCCGACGTGTGGAGGACGGCGAGGGCGGCAGCGGGCACCGCACCGGCGGGCCGCCCCTTCCCTGCCGCCACCTCCTCCTCCGGTGCGGCGTCCTCGGCGTGAACGGCGGCCGCCGTGGGCGGCGGCGGCGCCACAAACAGACCACGACATCCCATGAGACGACGCGCCGAAGTCGCGAGGGCGAAGACAATTGTCGCGAGTGGGTCCCGCTGCGCCGTGACGCAGGAACTCCGACGCAGCGGCACGGTGCCGGCGGGCGCCTCCTCGTGCGGCTGCGGCTGCGGGTGGTGAAGCTGCTGTCCCTGTCGGCGTCGCCCCGGCCCGCCCGCCGCGGACGCGGCGGACGCTGACGCCGACAGGGACGGCACAATGGCGGCGACGGGGCGTGGGTGCAGCACATCCACCCGCACGTAGCTCTGCGTGAGCGGAGCAAAGGCACACCAGCAACGACACGGCGAGGACGCCACAGCGGCGGCCGCGGAGAGGGCCCTGGGCCGCCGACGGCGGCCTCGCCGCTTAGCCTCAGGTGGGGCATGCTGCTCCTGCTGCTGCCTCCCACGCCCGTCAGTGGTGTTGCTTAACGGAGGTTTGCTGGCGGCGTGCGCCGCAGCCTCCGCAGCCTCCGCTTCGGCGGCATCCGCGTCGTGGCGCATGACCGGCAGCACATCAATCACCTGCACGTACGCCTCGTCGAGGAGCCGCACACCAAGTAGGAGGTCTCCCGCGGCAGCCACGGGCGCCGACGCTGGCGAGGCGGGTGGCACGCGGAGCATGACGCCGGGCGAGCACACCTCACAGGAGTGAAACTGGGCTTCCGGGGCGCACGCGGCACCGCCACCACCACCACCACCGTCAGCAGCAGCGGCAGCAGCGGCAGTTGCACCGTGGCTGACTGCCCCGCTCCTGCCCCCGGTTAAGTTGCGCGGCAGCCATACGCCGATGCGAGAGCCGCGTCCAATGAGGTTAAAATTCAGCAGAAAAAAGGGCGGTGGCAGTTGCAGGCGGAATGGACGCCGCTGCCGCGCCTCCTCCACAAGGAGACAGCATAGAATACTACAAAATGCGGTGAACTGCGAAACCGAACGCGGCTCCTGCAACACAAGGCCGTGCAGGTGGGGAATGTCCTCCACCAGCGCCATATTCCCAACAAGCGCGGCGATCTTCAGCGCAGACGAAAAGTAGTAGGCGCGGGCAAACCGTTTCCCGCAGCAGTCCACCATCGCAAACCACTCACTCAGCAGCGTCATCGCCGTACGCTGCACCAGCACCTCGTCCTCCGCGTGGATGTGTGACGCGGCGCGTGCCTCGCCCTTGCAGCCTTTCACAGCGCTGCCGGTGTCGGACACGACACTCGTGTGACTCTTGTCCTTCACCGGCGTGGCCGTCTCCTCGTGGAGCTGCAGAAACCACATGACGGACTTCGCCCACGATCGCGGCGCCTCCGTGCCTGTCACGGCGGCCGCGTCTGGGGCCGAGGAGGGCGCCGACGATGGGCGCCACTCCACCGCCCACAGGGCACCGCTGTGGAAGAGCAGCGCAAGAAACAGCCGATCGGAACTCAATAGGTGACGCCACAGTTCCACGCAACGCCGCCAACGCTGGGCGCTACGACGATGCCCACCACCACCACCAGGAGCAGCAGCAGCAGCGGCGGGAACGGCACTAGTGCTAGGACTTTCAACCACTCCGCTGCGACCGCGCGGCTCACCGGCGCTCCCCGCCCGGCGCGGGTGAAACTCGAGGTCCTGCTGCCGCAGCAGCTTCCCCGTCCCGGCGCCATTGTGGCTGCTGCGCCGCCTTCGCCCCGCCTCCCCCGCCTCTTCCCTCACGTCATGGGTGTCGCCCTCACCCGCGCCCGCCTCAGCGTCGTCGCCGTGGTTGTGAGCGAGGAACATAAAATCTCCCGAGAGGTGCTGGAGGAGCGCCGGCAGCAGCCGCTCGAGCGTCTGCGACATTCCCACCCCCTCCCCTCTTGACTCTGCGGACGCGACGCGGCACGATGATGCATGTGCGCCGTGCGCAGAGGCCGCAGGGACGGGTGCGTGCGCGTGTGTGAAGGGGAACCCCGCCAGCAGAAGAGCAAAGAGGAATAGCTCAGAGCGAGAAAGAGAAGGCGGGACGAAAACAACGACAGCAACGACGAAAACGCAAAAGAAAGAAAACGAAAAGGAAAGAGAAAAGAATATATTCCCCGCTCCACTCCAGCCCTCCTTTCACTCATCGCTTCCCACGCCGGCGTTTGTTTGTTTGCTTGCTTGCCTTCTCTGTCTGTCTCTGGTTGTTGTTGTTATTTTTTCTTTTGTTCCTTTCACTGCTGGCCGCACCCCTGCGCCTCAGGGGCAGGCGTCGTACAGGTGCCGCATCAGCGCCTCGGCGGTGTCGCCGTGCCGCATCTCCCGCACAAACGCCGCGTCGCAGGTGCGCAGGAAGAGGTTCTGCCGCTTCTCCTCCGCGAGGGAGCTTGGGACCGTCGGCGTGCGCCCCGCCACGTCCGCCTTGTAGCGCGTCAGCTGCGCCGCGATGAAGGCGGCGTCGGGGTGGGCCGGCGGGATCGCGCCGTGGGCGAACTGGAGGAAGTTGACGGTGTACTCGTGCCCGGGGAAGACAAACGTGCGGCGGTCCGCCTCGTCCGCGTCGCTGGCGCCCCGGTGCAGGTCGTACACCTTTCGCAGTGCCCGGCACATGAGCGCGGCGTCGCCCTCGAAGAAGGCCCCGATGCCGCCCACGAACATCGTGTCGCCGGTGAAGAGCGCCGCCCCGTCGGCCGCGGCCTGCGGGTGATAGACTTTGTACAGCACATGCCCCCGCGTGTGGCACGGCACGTCCAGCACCTCCACCCGCAGCGCCCCTAGTGACAGGCAGTCGCCCTCCCGCACCGTCTGCGTGACGCCTGGAATGTCGTCATTCACGCCGCCAACGACGCGAAAGGCGCCGCTGGGGCTCAGCTTCCGCAGCAGCGCGACATTGCCGCCGGTGTGGTCCAGGTGCTTGTGGGTGCTGAGGATTGTGCGGAAGCTCACCTCCCCCGCGCCGCGCTCGGCAACGCTCTTGCTGAGACGCCGCACGTAGTCCAAAACAGGGGCGGTGTCGGCAGACACGTCCACCGCCGCCACGGCGTTGGTGGCCTGGTCGTGGATAACGTAAGAGTAGTTGTCCTGCAGGACGGGTATGACGGCCACGGAGAAGGCGGCCCCAATGTTTTTTACCACCACCTGCATCCGACTCCTCTGCATCCACCACAGCCACGAAGCACACGCACACACACGCACACACACAACTATTGCCTCGGTTTACGCTGGGGCCCCGCCCACGGTGCCTGCTTTGTGCGCCGCAGGAGCGGAGAGACACTTCCCCGCCCCGCCGCAAAACGGTGAGGCAAAGAGGGGGGCACAAGAAGCGACAAGACGTCACGGCCTGAGCCGCCAGCAGCAACGCGAGACGAAGCAACGGACACATGCGTCCACGTGCACACCCTGCTGCGCACAGGCCCAGGGAAGGAGCCAGAGAGGGGGCATAAGAAGAAAAAGAAAAGAAAAGAAAAACCAACACCACGAACAAAAACAACAAAAACAACAACAACAACAAAAAAACCGGGGGACATTATTGTTCACACATATAAATATATATATCGCACACACACACACACACACAGCGGCACTAACGCCGTTGGATCCCTTCCCCCCTCTAGTTTTTTTTTTTCCTCTTCGGCGGCTGCTGTGCAGGGCGTACATCGGCCCACCGACGCCAAGAGAAAGTAGGCAAAAGGCAAAAAGCAAAAAGCAAAAAGCACGACGACCTCCTTTGGACGAAAATAACCGCAGAACCCAAAACCAAGAATTAAAAAAAATCAATCAACACGTACATTCACAGAGACTTACATAGAGACTTATCATACATATACATACATACATATATATATATATATAGCGACACAAAGCGAGACACGGCGAGACGCGACGGGGGGCCCTCTCCCCCCCACACCCCCCCCTCTGCCGCCTCCTTCTGTTAAACCTCTGCGCACCGCCCCCCTCGCAGGGGGCCTCGCAGAGTTAATGTGACTGCAGTAATGCCGGCAGTGACGGCCACCGGCGGCGACGGCGGCGTTGCCTCGCCCGCCACGCCCGTAACCGCTCCCCCACCTGCCTTACTCAACACATAGTGAGCTGCTGAGGCTGCTGCTCGTTCCTTGCACGCGTTGCGAGACTCACTTTGCGTGTGTGTGCCTGTGTTTCCGTCTCTACGTCGCCGGGTCTACTTCTTCTGCATGTTTCTGCGTACAACGCCTGACCGCTGCTGGGTCTGCAGCTTGCGCCACCCCCGATGGTCGCGCTCACGCAGCTCAATCCCGCGCATCTCAATCTCCGCGCGCTGGGCGTCGGCGTCGTTGTACAACTCCTCCGCGCGCGCGTACTCCCCACGCACGTGGAGCTGCCCCGCCTGCCGCGTTGTGCGGTTTGTCTGACGAATCATCTGCTTCACGGTGACGCCGGTGTAGTACCGCGGGAAGTAAGCCGAACGCAGGGCCACCGGCGACCACGCCACAAGCGGCTGCGTCCACGGCGCGAGGATGCACTGCAGCGCGTACGGGGCGAAGTACAGCAGCAGCCCAACGACAAGGAGCAGCAGCAGGGCCACCGGCACGAGCACCACTATGGGAATCCAGTAGTACTCCTCGGTGGAGCGATAGAAGCCGTAGCCGAGCATGCCGAGCGCGAAACACGTGACGGCGTAGTACGCGGCGAGGCCGACGCCCATCGCAAACCCAACAATAAATCGACGGAGGGCGGAGAAAATGTACTGGGCGATGTTGTTGGTGCGCGGGATGTAGCCAGGGGGCTGCATTGGCATCCCTTTGAAGATGCGCGCGCTAATCGCCGACGCCTCCTGCACCTGCATCGCCACCACAAACATGGGGATAAAAAGGAGCAGGAACGGCGGGACGGCGGAGAAAATGGCGAACCACCACAGCATGTGCAGCGACGCCCGGTCGTCGTTGACGAGCTGCACCATCATGATGACAAACCCGCTGTACATGTAACCCACCAGCGCCCCCAGCAGAAGAAACGGGAGGGCGCCAATGAGGCCGTCAAGAAGGCGTCCAAAGCTGCGCTCGTCCTTCGAGGATAAGGCGTAGAAGAGGAAGAGGCCGAGAAACAAAAACCCGGCACAACTCCCGGCCGCAGCGTAGATGGGTGAGCCCCACATGACATCAAACGGCAACCGCATCACACACACAATCACAAAGACAATGAAGGCGCCCAAACCCACCACACTGGCGCAGGTGAGCCAAAAGAGCGGCTCCACGGGGTCGTACTCCTCTCTACCGTCATATGGTGCCATGGAGATAATTTTCTTGTGCTTGGGCAGATAGTTTGGGTCGTACACCGCGGAGCCATCGCTCTCAATGCGCAGCGAAGGATTTCGCATGATGGCTTGCAACCGCTGCTGCTCCACCACATACGGGTCATCGGACTTGTGCCCATCCACGAGCGGGTTTCCCGGCAGGCCGGCGCCAGAGTAGCCTTTAATACTATGGTAGCTGCTGCCAACGCGGCCCGCGCCGGAAAAGCCACTGTGGGCACTCATCGCAGAAAGCCACACGCACACGCACACACGCGCAGCAAGCCTCCTCCTGCCGCCCTTTTTTCTTGCGAACGAAAATGTGTCAACCGGCAGAGGCGTGCGTGTCCGTCAATCCAGGGCTGCGTGTTCGCCGGTCGGTGGGTCCGTCTCTTTCGTTGGGGTGGGAGGGGGGCTTTACGGATGTCCTGCGGACTCACTCCCGTCAACGCCCCGTTGCTTCTCGGAGGGAAGACAAGAAGAAACAAACAGACACAAAAGAAGAGCGAAAAGCAGGGAGAGTTCAGAGCACCACCGCCACTACGCCTCATAGCAGCCGCAGCAGCGCAGGGGGAGGAGCCGGGAGAAAAGGAAAAGCCCGAAGCCACAGATGACAGCAAACAAACACACAAACAAAGGAATAAGGGAAACGTGCCTTCGCTCCATTTTCCACCGCTTCTCCTTCTCCTTCTTCTGCTTGACGCGACTGCCCTGCCCGGAGCAGGGAGACCACCCACCCACAGTGACACATACACACATCCCTTCTGGCTCCACATCCACGTGCCTGCTTTTACTCGCGCTTCGTCTCCACTTACTTCTTTTCTACGAGTAAAAGTCGTACTGCTCGTCCCCTGTCTTTCGGATGACAGTACGGTAGGCGCTCTCAAGGTCTTTCGGCAACACGACGTAGCGGTTTTTTCGCACCGCAAGCATGCCCGCCTCTTGACAGATGGCTTGTATGTCCGCCCCGCTGAGTTTTTCCGGCCGGGTGACAAAGTCCTCGAGGTCCACCTCGGGCGACAAATTCATTTTCCCCGTGCAGACCTGAAACACGAGACGCTTCTGGCGCCTGTCGGGGAAGGGGAACTCAATCTTGCGGTCCAGCCGCCCGGGTCGCAGCAGCGCCGGGTCAAGCGTGTCCCAGCGGTTTGTTGCCATGATCACCTTCACGTTTGTCGTCTGGTCGAAGCCGTCCATTTGCGTCAGCAGCTCGACCAGCACGCGCTGCACCTCGCGGTCGGCGCCCGTCTGGGCGTCAAAGCGCTTCGTCGCGATGCTGTCGACCTCGTCAATAAAAATGATAGACGGCGCATTCTCCCTGGCGAGACGAAACACGTCCCGCACCTTCCGCGGCCCCTCGCCGAGGTACTTCTGCACAAACTCGGAGCCCGCGACGCTGATGAAGGAGGCCTTGGTGTGGTTGGCCACCGCCTTGACAAGCATCGTCTTGCCGGTGCCGGGCGGGCCGTAGAGCAGCACCCCGCGCGGCGGGTCAATCCCAATTTGGTCGTACAACGACGCATGTGTCAGCGGCAGCTCCACCGCCTCGCGGATCTCCTGCTTCTGCATGTCGAGGCCACCCACATCGCTGTACGTCACATTTGGCTTTTCCTCCTTCTGCATGAGGTGAATTGTGGAGTCCGTCTCGTTGGGGAGCAGCTGCACACAGGCGTTGCTGCCCTTGTGCAGCCCCACACTCGCACCGGGCTTCAGTCGCTCCTTGTCGAGGGTACTTAGAATACGCACATAGTAATTGCTGCTGGAGGCCCCACCAACGATGCCGCGCCCCGCATCCACGGCCTCTACAAATGTACCGAGCAGGAGAGGCACGGCCTGAATACGTTGCACCTCTTGTTTCGCCGCACTCTCCTCCTTCTGCAGGTGATGGGTTTCCGTCTTGCATATCATCGTCTTGAGCTCCAAGTTCTGAATGGTCCTCACCAGTCGCTCGTGCTCCTCGTAGAGGCTCTGCGGGGCGGCCGCCGTGGTGGCCGCCGCCTGCGCAGCGGTGCACGGCATCTTTTTCCGCTGGACCACTTATGCTGCTTTCTTGCGTGCTTCCCTCCTTTCGTTTTCCTTCTTTCTTCTTTCTGTTTTTGTTCTTGCTGTACCGAGGCTGTTTGCTTGCTTCTTCCTTCCGTGTGTCTTGCGTGGGCCACGTGCTTCCTCTCGCCTTTGTCTTGTTGGTTTCCCCTCCGTCGCGGCCACGTAATACGCCACGCGCACACTCCCGCTTCCTGCGGGTCAACAACAACAACAACCAAAACAAAAACAAAACCAAAGAAGAGAAGGGACAAGGGAACGCGAGAAAGTAACACACAGACACACACTTACGTGCCACTGCGCGTGCGTGGGAGGCAGCCGCAGTCCTGACAGCCCGCGCAGGCGCGATGCGGGCTCCCTTTTGCGGGGTGCCACTGCCCGGCCCCACCACCCACGCAGAGAAAATAAATATGTGGCGGTGGCCTGAGACGCCCCTCGCGCGACCGCGTCTCCGGCGCCTTCGTCGTGGCAGCAGCCGCCGTGGCTACAGCGCCGCCCTCACAGGCAGACGTCATCACCCTCTCTCTCTCTCTCTCTCTTTCTCCCGGCTTGGGCCGGGCAATTAGTGCCACTTCCCTAAAAGGGTTGGATGAAAGAAAAGAAAGTCACATGCACCCGCCAAGGTCCCTATAAACCACCTGCACATTGCAGGCACGCAGAAAAACAGAAACAAAAACAACAACAACTAAAAAAAAAAGACCCCCGCGCATGACGTACCGGCAGACTCCAGTCTTTTTTAGGCACCGATTCCAGAAACCAACGGCGTTGGGTCTGCACGCAGCACGTGTATGTGCGTGGAGAGGAAAGGAGGTATTCCGGTACCAAGAGGCGTGCGTATGCAGGCATGAGCACCCTCCTCCCTCCTCCCTCCTCCTCCTCCCCACCGAGGCATGTTTGTTTGTATATATATATATATATGTCTGTGTGTATGCGTGTATGTGCGTGAGTAGAAGGAGTATCTACATAACCCCGGCCCTCTTTATTATTATTCTTTTGTTGTTGTTTCTCGTCCCAGAGGAATATATACAATACATACAGTAGGACACATGCGTATATGCATATGCATGCATGAAGGTCCTCCCAACCGCCCGCGCCTTACAGAAGGGGCAGGTGGCGACCACGCACGGAATGCGGGAACGCAAACAGACACGCAAATGGAAAACGAATACATAAAACGAAAAATAAGAGGGGCGAAAAACAATTATGAAACAACAGCAAAAAACGAAAAAAAAAAAACAGTCGCAAAATGAACAACAACAACAACAAAAGAAAAACAACACGACAAGAAGGAAAAAGACAAAAGGAGAAGACAAAAAAACAACAAACAA